ACAGCACCTATGATAAGACATGAGGTGACAAGTCATCTATATAAGTTAGTTGCAAAGTTGAACCAAATTTCAGGTCTCCAGTAGCTCCTCATGTTACCTGCATTCTATCCTCTCTCTTTGTATACTGTTGATGGTGTATATTTGTCTTTTACCATGAAATTTGTTATCATTGAACTGGCAATGATATAAGGAATGGATTTCTAATAGTTAGAAATGTAACTATTCTTTTAATATTTATTTATTAAGTATCCTCAGAAGGAATTTTTAAAAATATTGCCATCAGTGCTTACCATTTACATTGGTTGGAATGTTTGGGTGTATAATGTATTCATGTGACCATCATACAGGGGGGCCATGATAAATGCTAAAAGAAAGACAGAGGTAATGTGATATGGCTAATTACCTGGGGCAGTTGAGGGAAGCTGAAAGAGGATGTGTGATCTATAGTGAGCAGTGAAGAATGTGCAGGATGGGACAGGTCATTCTAGAGGAGGGCAGCAGCATGAGAAAGAAAGGCAGAAAAGCCAGGGAATCCCAAGGTAGCCTATATTGATAGAACCTAGGCTTGAGGGAAAAGCCAGGAATGGATCATGGAGCGGAAGGCACAAGAGAATGAAGCTCACACCCGTTGGTACTTAGTATAAGTAGGTACAGTGCTAGAGTTTTAAACGTGCAATCTCATTTAATCTCACCACATTCCTATGAGGGATCATTTTTGCGTTTTTCCTATAAGGGACTGAGGCTCAGGAAAACTAACTTTTCTGAGAACTCACTACTAATTGTTGAGAGAGTCAACATTTGAAAACAGTCTGCCTTCACTCAGGAAGTTTTTCTCTTATGCCAAATGACCCCACTGTGTCATTTCATGATGCTTAGCGTGTTAGCATTTGACTCTCATTCTTGGTCATTGCGGATGGGTTCTGAGCAGGAATGGGCATTACCACAGTGATCATCAAGGAAGAGTGGAAGCTGGATGGAGGGCAGAAGCAACTAGCACCATCTTCCTGGTCCGTGGACATTCTCCCGCAACATCTGACACCCAGACATTGGAGTCACTACATAGCATCATTTTCAGAACTGTATTTGCCATCTTTTCCAGTGAAATAAAAGTTAAAATTCTATACCAGGTTGATGCCTCTCTAGCTTCCTTCTTCTTTCCTATTTCCTGTTACAGGACTTCCATTTCACTTTAGCTTACCGTCTCCAGCACATACCGTCTGGCTTAGCCAACACTTGTTCAAATATGACTAACACAGAATAACTACTAATTGTCCAAGAAGTTTCCCCCAATCTGTAACATCTCTGAGACTTCTATTATAATTGACCTGATAAATTGATAGAAAAAGTTGTACCACCTACCAAACACTGGTCCTCTGTAGAATGGTATGTAAACAAGGAAAATGCAGAATACCTTTTTTTTTGGTACTTTAGAAACACATCTGTTGCTATTTAAACTAACTAAGAGTAAAGTAAGTGCCATGGCAGATTATGCCATGCCTTTTCTTTTTATTAAAAAAAAAAAAAAAGGAAATGGAAAACATACCACTTCTAGAAGGCCCTGACATTGAACTGGATATTGAAATCATATAGGAAAAGTATTTATATATGCCACATTTTTTCCATGCATCAACCATCTTTGGTACATATGTGTTGGATATTTGCCATGTGAGAGAATGTTACCCAGAGGGAAGATGGTCTTGTTTAGAAGTAATGTGATCATTAAGGTAAAGGTAAAGTCAGCCCTTTTTGATTTTACTTACCTTTGCTACATGATCTGATGCAGAAGTTGATTCTTCTTTTTCTTTTGACTTTTGTGTCAGTCTTTGAATATACATCAGAATTCCCCTATTGCAACTAAAAAATAGAAATTACATATCAGGACAGTATAATTTCCATAAATTTAAAAAATTATATAAGAAATATTATAACTTAATACTGGTGTTACCATGTCCTGTAATTTGAAATGGAGTGAAATGCTTCTATGGTTAAATTAGCTTGATTGTGCTGTTTGCTATAAAAGTTTGAATATATATATTTCAAGAATTTAGAAAAAATAATCCAAAACAAATGTGACAGGGCTCAGCATACTTGAAACACATTTTCTGAATTTATCTTAAATCTCTCTGCTCTAGAGATTGTTCATGTGTATGTGGATTAGGCCTGGCTGGTTATTTCACCATCCATCTCCATCCTGAATTGATTCCACTGAACAGCACAGAATGAGCTACATATGGTCCCACTTTGTCTCAGTTTGTAGGACCTCTGGGCTGGAACTCCATTTGATCAGAGTGAAGCTAACCATTGCACAAATTTGGCTAATGTCAAAACCCTAAATATATGCACATATACATATATCCTGGCTAGAATGTTAATATTCCTATTAGAAGTAGTGGTGTTTTCTATGCATTGGTTCACTAGTTATTGTTGACATTTCAAGAATTAAAAAAAATTAGCTATGGATGATGATATTGATGTTCTGGTTAGGAATCATGTTACAAATGTGGACCAAGGCAATATTCGGATGTTTTCAAATCAAATTTATGAATATACTAAAAACTTTCTAAAATTGGGAAAGAAGAAGATGGGAATACAAAGATTGTCTTAAATACAAACTTAAATCTTAAAATTGAGGAGGAAACCTATCGTCAAGTTTATAGTTCCTTTTTTTTTAGTGTGGTCTATTTGAAATAGAAAAACAAGCTTCAAATATATTTAATGTTTAGATATTGTTCCTTAACTCTATAAACTTGAGTTAGGCAGGGGCCCGTACATGTTAAGGTCCATCTTGTAGTCACTAAGGGTAAAGGAAGCTGTTGAGGGAAACTGACTCCCCAATCAGGCTCTTTTGTCTTTTTCCTCCTCTTCTTTTTGTTCTTTTTCCTCTTCTTCTTTTTCCTCCTATTGCTTTATTTATTTTTTTGTTACTCCCACTTCCCCTTCCCCCTCCTGCTCTTCCTTTCTCTGTCTGTGCAACCACGTGCTTCAAATCTGTGTTTCTGGACTGCCTTCTCTAACAGTTCCGTGTGAGTGTTAGCAGAATGAAAACCAGATGGACCAGCAGTTCCCACTGTTATCTCCCAGTCGACTCTGGCAAGACTCCCTTTCTCCCTCCCTCCTTGGCATGACAGAAATATTTGCCTTTATTTAGGGAGACTTGTATTTGCTGCTGTACCTCTTCCCTCAGCTGCAACATAAGCGGGAAGCTATTTATTCCCTTGTTGCTGAGGTTGGTTGAGGTGAGTAGAATGTGCAATGAATTTAACTATTGAAAAAGCAATTTTAAGCCTGCCTAACTTCTGTATTTTTCTAGAATAAGTGACTTACCGGTTGTTAAATGCTCTGAATAGCAATCTGAAGACAAGCTTTTAACAGTAGACAATGCTGAAAATGCTCTTCATGTGTGTCCCTACCATCCTTCCACTCCAAACACTTTTATTCACTATGGGGACATTCGTTTTTATTCAGTCAGCAGCAGAGATTCAGAAATAGAAACCCTGATATTGCTGTTAACTCATCAATAATAATAATAGCAGCTCATTGTACAAACGCTCTTATTAGAATGATGATTATTTTCATTCTCTAATTGTATCTTCCCTAAAGTGATACCAACATTATTTCAAATTTTAAACGTTGTGTTTTATTGCAACCCAAGCGTTCAAATTGCTTTGAACAAAAGTGAGGTAGATTTGGAATTGTGATAGTAGTGATTTGGGTTTTTCCTTTTCTTTCAATAATTGACCTTTAATTTTGAGAATTTCTGACTGTGGTTATTATAACATTTTTAAAGGCTTATTCTTTCATAATAGTTACTTCACTTTTCTAAAAGCCCAAGTGTGAGGTATTTGTGTCTATAACTGCAAGAGTGCCTCAAAACATTTTGGGCGTGTTTGTGTGTTCATGTGCATGCCTCCACATGTTTGTGAAAGAATTGGATCTAAAGAACCAAAAATAGACTGTGATACTGCTGTTGACTAGCTCATCATGCAAATGTTCTTATTCGAATGATGATTATTTTTATTGCATCTTTCTTAAAATGATACCAACATTGTTTCAACCTTTAAGTGTTTATTGCAACCGAAGTGTTAAGAAATTGCTTTGAGCAGATCAAAAAGTCTGTTGCCTTGATAAGCAGATTAGATTGAGAAAAACAGTTCAAACTGTCAAGGGAAAAGCATACTTAAGAGAAAGCAGTTCTGAAGTATGAATGTCCATTATTGGATAATCAAGAAATTTCTTCGTATCTGTCACATACTCATGAGAAAAATATTAAAAGTGTCTAGTTCTTTTTAGTTCTCCATGTGGGACTTTTACATTCTTACTCTGAGATTATTAATTGGAATATTGATTTCATGCTTTTAAAATGACAGGTCATAAATTTACACATTCGAAGTAAATAATAGCTTCACTTTGTTGTATAGTACATGACACTTACATAGCAGCGATTTTTAAAACAGGGCAGGAAATATTGAAGTGTGAAATATGTCTGGAGGACAATAACTTGTTTCATCTAGGAGGCCAGAAAACTAAAGATGGCAAAGGGAAGGGAGGTGTTACAGAAAATCATTACAAAGAGCTGGCTCCTACCAGTATCTCACCTGCATAACAGACTTCAGGTTTTTGTTATTTCTGAGCTGTCATGAGGGGTTCATTATCATCCTACTTCCTCATCTATTTTCTACCTCTTGCTAACATTGGCTGCAGCTTCCAGTGCAGTTGTGCTGCTGCACATAACACTACCAAGGTAGCATCTGCCTAAGCCAGAAATAACAATAGGATATAATATAACCTAGTTACAAATGAGGTCCTGCCATCTGTGCTATACCTTCTTAAGTGGGGTTTGGATGATAAAATCCTGATTTAAACTTCAGTAGATAAGCATATTTTATTGATAGAAGATGTTGAATTTCTTCTGTTCACTTGCTTTTAAAAAAGATAAACCCCACTTGAAAAATTGAGGTGCTTAAGGAGTAAAATAATATGTTCCTGGTGGCATCCTCCAGATCGTACTGAGAAGCACTCCACAATGCCAGACTCACCTGTGGATGTGAAGACGCAATCTAGGCTGACTCCTCCAACGATGCCACCTCCCCCAACTACTCAAGGAGCTCCAAGAACCAGTTCATTTACACCGACAACGTGTAAGTAGTCATTTCAGGCTTCTGAGTTTCAGTTTTAATGTTTAAATTCGATTTATCTCTGCAAATGAAAAATGAAGGGAAAATAAGATTCAGCATCAATGTATTATGCAGAAATGAAGCAAAAAAAATCATTTGTTTGCCAGTGAGTAGGTATTGAGCAGAGAAATATCATAGCTTAGGTATAATTTGTATGACTGCCAATATTTGCCTTCCTTTTTATTACTGCTTCAAAGTTGTAGTCTGCTATGATTTTAGCAAATGAAGTAGCAGTTGGTCTGTAATTGCAGTTGGTACCACTGTAACTTCTAATTCATCTTAATGTGGAGCTCTTTATTTTAGTTTTTTCAGCATGCCTTGGGACACGAAAATATGCTATCATTATTTCTAGGTTACTTCTGATCTTCTAACACCATTTTCATCTATTTCAAACTGTTACAAATAATGTTAAAATCTAACATCTTTGAGTTAAAAAGGGTATTGATATGCAACAATATCATACAGAAAACTTTGTAAAGTGAAAAGCATCTTTCTTGTCTTGAACCTATTAGACTTTTAGTAAAACTTTACTCCATTCCTGTTTGTCCAAGTCCTGTGTTCTGTCAGTGGAGTGTATTGCTTTTGGTACAATCCAAAGGAAAAGACAGAATATTATGACAGAATTGCAACTTCCCATTCTTTCCTGTATATTTCATTAGGGATAGTTGATAACTTTGTTTTAATAAATCTCAAAGTCTTGGTTGAAATTGTCATCAAGGACTTGTGAAACTAATAAATGTTATCGGTTGCAGCTATTTTTCACACTATGTGCTATGAAATCCATATGAATAAAAAATAACTAAAAGGCGAAAATAGATCTGTGGGACTATAAGGGATTAGCAAAATACATATCCCAGGCTATTTATGCCATGTTGCGCTGCCATTTAAAAGACCTTTCCAAATATGTAAGGAGCAGGCGACTGTGCAATGCCAAGTTGTAACCCTGTCATCTTATATGTGCTTTGTTGTTACCCAAAGCCATGGGGTAAGCAGATGTCTCCTGTGAGACATCCTGGTGAGCTGGCATTTCTTGACAGGTTACTGTGATACTCACTGGGGACAAGAGAACCATTTTATTTTGTCAAAATGAAACTTTTAAGAATACTATGGTCCTTAAGACAATTTCAAACTATATCAAAATTATATTAAAAAGATGGGTTTGATAAAGGTCTGCATACCAAATTAATTGACTTAACATGATAAAATCAACATTTTCTTTAATGCAAAGGTTGCAGATTTAAAAATTCTGTTTATTATGGATTATCAACTTTTTTGCTTTCTTTTTATATGTTATTAATGCATGTATTTATGGGTTACAGAGTGATAGGGATTATCATCTTGATGTTCAAACAAATTTATCAGAAATGAATTTGCTGAATTCCCACCATTCCATCCTCTTGGCTGGATTGAGGTGTCCCATTTTGATTTCTTGAAATAACACCTTGTTAAACACTATATCCATGTTGGCTTTGTATGTAAAATATGCATTTTCTAAAGAAGTGGTTAGGAAGTATGAGGGGGAGAAAATAGCCTTCTAATTGGGTGGTGGAAGGTTAAAACTTGAAAGTCCTATTCCTATAAACACAGCTGTCAGTTGTGTGTACAAAACATGATTAAAAATGTTCAATGATAAATTTAGTCTCCACCAAATGTACACTTTCTCTAGGGGAGCAGTTTGTAAAGAAATAGTCCTGTTATATTGATGTAAGCCTGCGACAAAAGGCTGACATGCGAAGCTGTTTGTTCTATGTTTGAAGCATTTCAGGTGGTTGGCATATGTGCACATGGGAGACAGGGCTGACTCTAGGTTGCAGCAGACTCTATTTATTATCAGCCTCTGTGCAGGATACCATCACTTAGTACGAGGAGTAAACCCATTTAGTTATAGAGTACCTGAGGATGTAGTAACCCTGTGAAGTCCAAGCATTTTACCAAAAGTCCCAACATTTAAAAAGTTATAAAACCAGTAGATGTAAAAGGTAAGAGACTTGGTGGCAATTTCCTCATGCATGTCCTCTGTAAGTTTATGATTTTCTTCTGATTTTGTGCTCTTGACAGTAACTAATGGCACGAGCCATTCTCCTACAGCCTTGAATGGTGCCCCCTCTCCACCCAATGGCTTCAGCAACGGGCCTTCCTCTTCTTCCTCCTCCTCTTTGGCTAATCAACAGCTGCCCCCAGCCTGTGGCGCCAGGCAACTCAGCAAGCTGAAAAGGTTCCTTACTACCCTGCAGCAGTTTGGCAATGACATTTCACCTGAGATAGGAGAAAGAGTTCGCACCCTCGTTCTGGGACTAGTGGTAAGCAAATAGAAACCAACACAGTTTTCTTGGCATGGATGGGAGACTCAGATATGTAGACACCATTCTCATAACTATTTTGTTATAGTAGTTTCTACATCTATAGATGTAGATTTAGACAGTGTGTGCAAGTCTGATTCATGCTATAGTGACAATCTTTTATTTGTATTTATTTATTTTATTTTAAGTTCTGGGGCACATGTGCAGAATGTGCAGGTTTGTTACATAGATATACACGTGCCTTGGTGGTTTGCTGCATCCATCCCCGCATCATCTGTATTAGTGACAGTCTTTTAAATTATGTGTTATATATTGACCCCACCAGAGTTTTTTGTTTGTTTTTTTACTATTTGACTAATAAAGATATGGTTACACAAATTTATTGTTATATTGGCCATAAACATGTACAGTATCTATGTGTATATACGTGTATATATATATGTATTTAGACATATATTTACATGTCTATGCACAGACACACGTATTTCAGAATTTCAGTAAGTACACTCTCCTGGCATGCCTAGTAGCTTTCAATAATGACAAAATGGTTTTGTTATGTTGATTCACTCAATCTAATTGGGCGCTCATTTTAACTTTGTTGCTTTGGGGAATTTTTATCATTGGCCTAGATGAACAAGAATTTGTAACAACACATTCTTCTTTAATCTAGTGTCATTTTTAAGACTAATAACATTGAAATTTTTTATTGTAGTAAAATATACAGTTTGCCATTTTAACCATTTTTAAGTGTACAGTTTGGTGGCATTATGTATATCCACACTGTTATATAACCACCACTAATGTACATCTCCAGAACTTTTTCCTCACCTCAAACTGAAACTTTCTATACTCATAAAACAGTAACTCCTCATCCCTTTTATCCCCAGTGCCTGGTAACCACTAATTCTTTGTTGTTTAAAAACACACAAACAGACACACACACACACACACACACACAGACACACACAGATACATACACAAATTTTTGTTATAGGTAGAATTACCAAAACCACTAGTCTGAGAAGTGAACTGTTGGTTTTTGCACATTATACTACATTCTGCACATTGTCACACTGGAAAATAGAACATCCTTTTTTTACATTCGAAGTCACTTTTCCATGTGTTGTGATTTTCTATAGAAGTGGAGGATTTTTGAGTATTTAGGAAGGCTAGTTTCCCATAGCAAAATGAGTCATGAAGAAGCTATGAGTCATATATTCAGCTCTTTCATTGTTCAGGGTTATGGTGAACTAAAATTCGAATGATAGACACCAGTATCCATTTTCTTGAAACAGATCATTTATTTTCATTATATGAACCTATCGGGGCAAAGCCATACCAGTTGTGTATTGCAAAAGAATTTTCTGAATTAGAAGGCTGGGTGAGAGATTAGTGCAGAAGACGTATTTCAAATCACTATATCCCATATTTGACGGAGATTTTGCAATTTAATTTGTAACCATTAACTGCCTCTCCTCCCTACTCCAAGAACACAAGACTTCCATGTTTCTCACAATCTGTCAGCTCCACCTTGTAAACTTCCAAGACAAGAATGTTATTTTCACAAAAGTTGTGTTGGCATACTTCAGATACTTTTGTCAGTCACTTTTCTTTTCCTTTTATTCATTCTTGAATTTGCATAATAAGCTTTTTAACATGTAAATAAGTTAGACCAAGGAAACACAAAGTAAATCCAAAGTAATACTTGTATCAAGTAAATGGTGAATGTGTTGTTCTTAGTGAAAATTGTTTTTTTTTGAAAATTGCCTTATAAATTTGACATGTTCTTTGTAGTGGTTCTATCATTTAAAATGCAGAGAAACTTGGTAGCTTTAAGTAGATTTTTCTCAAGTGGCATACTTTCATGTGATATACTTTAAAAAAATATATTTTTTAAAATCGAAAAGCATACAGAGGAAAATAGGGGAAGACATTAATTAATGATGTCTTGCATATAATAGGCCATGAATATCCATTGAGCAGCAGACTTCTGTTTTAAACATTTAGCTTACAAGCCATTTTACATAATTCTTAGAACTACCATTTGAGGAGGATTTTGTGTGTGTGTGTGTGAAGGAGTGATTTTTTTACACATTTGACACATGGGTAAACTGAGTTTTACAGAGGTTAAGTAAAATATACAAGG